ATCCTATCAGTCTCCTACCCCTCTTCGGCAAAGTCTTCGAAGCTTTAATCAACGCCGAAGTGGTTATGCACCTTACATCCCATGATCTACTCTCCGACAAGCAATGTGGTTTCCGCTATTCCCTTTCTTCAGCTGATGTGCTTACGGCCATCACTGAAATTGTTTACCAAGCCCTTCATAATAACGAAGCTTGTTCCGTGGCTTTTGATATCTCCAAAGCATTCGGTAGGATTTAGCATGCTGGCCTTCTTCGCAATCTCCAGGGTTATGGAATTACAGGTCGATTGTTCGACTTAATACACTCATTCCTGTCGAACCGTACATTGAAGGTCGTTCTCAACGGATTCCCCTCCAGCTCCTATCCCATGAACGCAGGTGTTCCCCAAGGCTACATCCTAGGCCTTGCTCTGTTCTTTATCTTCATCAACGATCTCCCTGACGTCATAGATTTCCAAGTAGGCATCTCCGCGGACGACGCTACAATTTACTCCTGCCTCAAAAACAAATCTAGTGTCGTTGACAAAACTAACCTGGCCATTCATCTCGAAAAGGACCTCCAATCGGTTGTGAACTGGGGCAGGAATTGGCTGGTTAACTTTGACGTCTCAAAAACAAAACTGCTCTCTATTACTCATCATAAAGAACCATCCTGTCCACCCCCCATTAGTCTGTCTGACGCTCAACTCCACGACAGCACCTCTTTGCGACTGCTCTGTCTCACATTGACTGCTAACTTGAGATGGAACAAATACATTGAGTCAATAGCTTCGTTCACCACAAGGAAAGTTCGCTCCCTGTGCCACGCCAGGAAATTTTTCTCGCCGGAGTCGATCCTTCAAATTTACAAATCAACCATTCGCCCTTGCATGGAGTATTGCTGCCATATATGGTCTGCATCCTCGTTCTGTTTTTCTCAAAGTTTTTGATAAGATCCAGAGACGGATTTGCAATGTAATTGACCCTGATCTGGCATCTCGTCTGCAGTCGCTCTCTCACAGACGTGCCGTCGCCTCCCTCTGTTTTTTTTTACAAATACTTTCACGGTAACTGCTCCGATGAGCTGCTTCCGCTGATTCCCAGACTTCATGAATTTAAGCGTTCAACTAGGCTGGCATCCCGCTCTCACCCTTTCACTGTTGAAACTGTTAAATATAGCCGTCTCTTCTACTCCAATAGCTTCACGTCTCGCACCTCTCGCCTGTGGAACCCCCCCCATTCCAGTTTCCCTGAGAGATATAATCTCCAAATATTCAAATATAATGTCAATCGACGTCTCCCGATGCCTTGATCTATCCCCTATCCTTCTCTTCATCCTTTCCTCCATCACTCCTCTTTGCTCTCGCTCCAACTCTCTGTAACCCCTTGCGTGCTAGTGGCTTCCCGCCTTGCTTGGGATTAAACGCTTAAATATATATATATATATATATATATATATATATATTCCAAATGTTGTCATAGGCAGGATGACAGTGGAGTCCCCGATGTCTGTAAAATGCTTCCGTGGCACGAATCTCAAATATCCTCTGACAACTACGTTCAGTTCCAAGCCAGAGAATGGGTGACAACTGGCGCTTCATATCCAGATGCTAAATAAGACTTAAACATTTACAAAACAGAAGCTATGAGCTGAAACTGGAATTAAAAGCAGTCGTGTTATATACCATGAATCCGCTTTCAGTGAGAATACCAGAAACCTTAGAGTGATTATAATTAATATGATATTATGGGAATTAAATAACATTTAAATTGCTTTCTTTGTTAAAAATATATATATAAGAAAAGTTACCTAAGGTGCGTAGAAAGTAAGGTAAAAAGAAATCAGATATGTACGGTTATGTAAGAGAAAATTTAAAACAAAAATTATTCCAGTTTCAATATAAGAAACTCAAAAGTCTCGTATTGCTATTTTAAACTGAGGCCGTCGCTTTTTATGAAACATTGTAACTATTTTGCTTTATGTTTTTTTTAATTTCAGCTAAACCTTGGAAATTTCCCAACATAATTCAGTGAAATACTCACTTTCCAAAGTTATAGATTTTAATTATAGTTTAGATATATGAAGAGAAAGAAGGCCCCAGTTTAAACGAACGCCTGGAGTATCTGGTTTAAGTGCAATGAAAATGGAGGAGAATATGCACAGAATCACATGGCAATTGTTTTGATGACATTTTCTCTTTGGTACTTCGACTGCATAAATTAAAGCGTAACAAGAATGGTAAGGCCCAAGAGCCACTCAAGGTAGAGGATTACAGTGTGAAGTTGCTTAAGATTAACGTAAGAAAGGATAAGAGTTAGGAGTATATAGCTGAAACAGACTTTCGAAGGAAGTGAAAATCCAATCCTAAACAGGAAACAGGGGATAAACTTCTATTCCTGTTCGACCCGTTTTACTGCTGAACTACCTAGATATGTTCTATTCTAATAGTTTCTTTTCTCGCACCTTTCACCCGTGGAAATTCCTTCCGATTTTTTTTGCTTACTGTTACCCACACTCTTTCAAACTTTAAATGTAACGCCAATTGTCATCTTCTATCTTTCTGACCGTCTTTGGTATAACGATAAACTACATCCGTGTCCTGGGTAAGACGATAAACTACATCCGGCAGCAAGGCCTCTGACCAGGAGGTTTTGAGGAGGGTGGAACCACCTCTTAATTGCTGGTGTTCCCAGGTCCACCCTGACCCGGGGTGGTAGCACCTGTTAGGGTCCCAGCTATGGGTAGATAGTTAACCCCCAAACTGGGGTCAAAACACTATGAAAATGTAAAAATAGGTCTTAATAGCCGAAATACTTTGTAAAAAAAAATATATTACCAGCAAGACATTTTTGGGAAAAAAATATTACCAGCTATACATTTTTGAAAAAGAAAAAAACAAATATTACGACAACAAAATTCTTGACGGTATTAAATAACCCATTGAGGTTGATATGTCGTAAAACGAACCAAACCAAATCAAATTGTCTTTCTGAAACCTGTTCTTTTATTATCCTTTCTTCCCACTTCTCATTAAAGTATTCTCCGCCTCTTTCACATTCATTTAACTCCTTGCGTCTCAGTGGTTATTATTATTAACTAACCCATATCCTTATGGTGGTATTTCAAACTGGTATCTTCTTTTGAGAGCGGAGTTCGAATTCAAGTCGAATCCATTACATTCACTTACGTGCTAATATCCTTGGGAAAAGTATGAATCCTCTTCTCGCTCATATGGTAAATAGCAGGACAGATTGGGTTCTATAGCATTGAATGGCAACTGGGCTACCGTAGAAAGAAATGGCAACCTACTGCGTCAGTCATATATCGAAAGATACATGATCGCCTACGTGTGTATTACGCATGGCACATAACTGACTGATCTTTTTTTTTTCATATTTTGCGTGTATTTTTAAAGTCCGTATTTTCTTGATTTCAGATGAAAATCTAGACATTTTCCGACATATTTCAGTGAAATTTTCACTTTTGCAAAATTATAGTTTATAATAATAATTTAGGTATATGGAAAACGAGAAAGCGTCATGTATATGTGTCAAAAGTATTTCAAAACCTGTTTATCTACTTAATAAGGATAGTGTGTAAATTACTTACTCGAGTAGTTTGTAATACCCTATTTATCATCTCTCAATTGCACCTCTGCTTTGGGTCAGAATGCGCTCAGAGGCGGCTCCGTCAAAGGATAGAGTCGCAACTGAGGAAAATTATACTGAGAGGTGCCCGGTCGTGGGGAACAGCTTCCCAGGGCCGCGCCATCTCATAGCACTAGAGAGAGTGATCAGTGCTCGCACCGAGGCCAGAGCAACCGACAGTTGCTGGTGCTCGGGCAATTTTTGTTCCTAGCCCGGGTGAGCGCGCTCGGGCTCCTCACATTAAACCGACTTTGTGTCACAACCTGACCTCGTGGTTGGGGGTGAGTAAATACAAATCTACTTAATAAAGTTTTTGCCTTTTTTTTTTTTTAAATGCATGAATTACATACTAAATGTTGTTTTTCAGGATTTGCTAAAACACGGTCAAAACCTGTAATTTGAGAATGCTTCGGCATTTTTCATGCTCAATAAAAGGCTCAATATTGCAAGAATGCTTTCGCTACTCAAGGATTCTAAATCTTTTAAAAGTCCTTCACTGATAGAACGACATGCTGCTCTAAAACCCAGCCACAAAAGCAACACGAACGTCAACGTTATTTCACTGGAAATCTATCTTTTCATTTTTAACTTATTTTTCACTTTTCTGTTATTTAAGAAATTTTGTTATTAATTTTTTTCCCGCGAAAATCCGCCGTCTCCCGCTTCTCCCCACGCCATTAGACAATTGTTCTTTAAAAGAAGCCGCAGTCATGGAATTAGCTAAATTATTCCTGTCATCAGTAATAATAATATATTGAGAGCTTTGGGGAGGAACTCTCCGGTATTCAGAGGACGTAAAAAGCTAGAAAAACCTGAAAGGATCGTTGAAAAGAAGATTTTTAGCGATGAGACCAAATTGAGGTTCAACATTTATCTGCAAAAATACGTAGGAAATAAATTGATAAATCGGGTGGGGGGCTGGAAAAAGAAAGAGAAATAAAAATGGAGGAAAGCATCGTAAAACAAGAGAAAACAAAACACGAGTGGAAAAGCCTGGGTCGGAAACTGTCAATTTGGGGATAATGGTGATATTATAATCGAGTCAAAGTAAATTGAAGCAATGTCGACGTTGTGGGGCAGGTGGGAGGAGTAGGAATAATGGAGGGCGGCGGGTTCTCTGTCGTAATATCAAAAGTGGCGTCTTCCTTTATTTCTTTGGTTGTACCGAGTATCGAAGATAAGATTAGAGGAAATGGAAGGAGAGGAAGAGAGAGAAAAACCAAAAAAAAAAAAAAGAAGATAAATAAGAAAGAGGGAGTTAGACTGAGAAAGAAAGAAAGAGAGAGAGAGAGAGAGAGAGGATGTGTATGGTAAATTGAGTGTATAAAACATTTATTAAGTGAGAGAGTTTGAATGATTTTGAGAAGCAGATAAGGTCAAAGAGGACGCGAGAAAGGGAGAAGGAAAGTGAGAAAGAAACATATATAGAGAGAGGGGAAATATTGAGAAGCGCATTGTGTATTGAAGGAGAGTATCAAAGATGGAGGTGAAAAGGAAGAAATAAGAGTCCAAGAGAAACGGAAAGAGATGAGAACGGAAAAAGAGAAAAATAAATGAGAGCAAACAGAAGTGTAAGAAAGAGAGAGAGAGAGAGAGAGAGAGAGAGAGAGAGAGAGAGTGAGAGAGAGTGAGAGAGAGAGTGAGAGAGAGAGCGAGAGAGTTTGAGAGGATGAAAGAGAATTAGTGTATATATATATATATATATATATATATAGAGAGAGAGAGAGAGAGAGACAGAGAGAGAGAGAGAGAGAAACAGAGAGAGAGAGAAAGTGAGAAAAGGTATAAGCATTACATTTATGGAAAATATGTATACCGTGATAAGAAAGAAATAGAGTGAGAAACGGAGAAGGAAAGTGAGAGACACTAGAAGAGAAATAAAGGTAGAGAGAGAGAAAGAGAGAAAGTGAAAGAGAAATAGACAAAAGGAGAGATAGATACATAGATAGAGAGAGAGAGAGAGAGAGAAAATGAGAGAGAGATAGAGAGAGTTGTTGATGGGATGTTGGAAATGGTAAATTCACGGAAAAGAAGTAGAGAGTGACATACAGAAAGAAAGAGAGAGAGAGAGAGAGAATAGATTGAGTAAATGTCGTTAGAAACAGAGAGAGAGAGAGAAATGAGAGAGATTGAGAGAAAGTGAAAGTGAAAGTGAAATAGACAAAAGGCGAGAGCGAGATAGAGAGAGGTGTAGATGGCGTGTTCGAAATGGTAAATTTACGGAAAAGAAGTAGAGAGTGATATGCAGAGAGAGGGAGAGAAAATGGATTGAATAAATGTCGTTAGAA